CCACACTTTAAGTTGCGCATTCGATGATGCAGTTACAGTAGCGGATTCTTCATCAAAAGTACATAAAAAACGCGTAATATTATTGATGTCGTTAATGGAATTCCAGGTCACATTGCCAGGTCAAATTCAAATAAAATCGCCCTCGATTGCCTTGCTAGAACTGCAATCGATGGAAATTGGTTGATCAAAGCATTTGCAAAGGATGCTCGGGCTAGCAATATCCATAGCCCTACCTGTTTTCAGCACCCTACTCTGTTGAAAGGGATAAACACATTTGCTGCCACATGGATGGTAACAACATTTGAAGTCCGCATTACAATCGCTGTCTAATCTACAAGCATTCTGAAATTCTGGTGTACAAATAACAGCAGTTAATGGAGGGGGTACAGGGCAAACACCTATAATAAAAAATAACGTATCCAAGAAGGAGCAAAGGGCCTATCGCTTACAGAACCCACCTTAATATCTTTTAGACGTGGGGTTATACTATTGTCTCAAGTCTTCGGTGATTTTGCTTAGTCTACCATTTAAATAAGGAGTGTTACTTCTTGTAATGAAGCGTTGTTTTTTCGACGTGATATTCGGATTGGATATAGGAACTGGGTTTAGGGCCAGGCATATAGTCCTAGGTCTAATGCCAATTTTCATGGGTATTTTGATACCGTGTAGGGCAATATCTGGCAATGTCTTAATGGACTCGTGAATGGTTCAGCTGTGTATAGTTTTACAAAATTTGTATTTTGTCTGGATGAATATTTTCAAAAACTAGAGATCCAAGAATTAATCGAAGCAGCTTCAATGAAAATCGACATTATCGACATTCATCGTAAGAACTGGGCAGGGCTAGTGTGACAGTGCCCAATGCGGGGTTTTCAAGTCTTTACACTATCCCCTTCATCTACTATCACCCCCCCGTACTATTCAACCTTGTTTTGTCGATCTCTCACCCGATCTGGTATGTTGACGTACTGTTAATGATGGTTTACACATCCTACCACATCCTTGTAAACAACACAAGAAACCTAAAAACAAAACTAGGCTTCAATTAAGATTGAAACATTTGATTTAAATTTGGAATTTTAAAGTTTGGCCAATGAATTTAACTTTGAATCGCATTTCATAAAAAATCACGATGTATCGGTTGTAGACTATTATAGATATAATATTATAATTAAACAATCACATTGAATAATTGATCGCTATTTCTAAATTAAATGGTCCATAGAGACAACAGAGGGCAAATATTCTCATGAGACACGAATGTAGAGACGATTGAGTGAGAGTTGATACGACATGACAAAGAGGCCAGGGAAGAGCAAGGAGTATTATAAAGGGGAGAGAAAAGTAAAGAGGGAAGAACGGACAAGTGGAAGAAGATGAATCAAAGGAAAGCGGAAGGAAGGAAGACGGTGCTAAGTGGAAAACATTTATCATCGTCGGAGAAGAAGGGTAGAGCATTCGGAGAGAATAATAGGTATGGAGTTGAAGGAAGTGAAAAGAGTGAGTATTACATGACAGTAGGTAGATAGGCAGTAATTTAGGGGCTTCGATAAAGGGGTCTGTGGGATATTCTCTTTTATTGATAGATACTGATTGCACCTCCGTGCAAGGCTTCGAATTACAGTACTCAGAAGACTTATCATGGGTAATCGTCTTCAATTTCCTTACCAATTTGATATTGAATTGCTAAAGTACAAAATTGGAGTTAACAAATTTTCATAAGTACCCTCAACGGTCAAATAAAATGGCAGAGAATTCTCTCCCTTTAAGTAAAACGTATATAAAGCGTTATATTAACTATTGAAGATTGTAGAGCGATCTCACCACTGCTGTATAAAATAATTCACTAATAAAATTATCATATCGTTAAATAAGATACAACGAATTCGACTGTATTTCTAAACTAGACCGCCTTTAGATGCTTAAGGTTAATAGAGACTACTTTGCGTTGACTAATATTGCTAGATCTGACGGGAATTATCACGAACATGTATAATTTGATTTGATTCGCAGATTGTCGTGATAAAGTTTATTTTTTGGATCGCAATATTGGTTTATTTTGACCAGCAAATTACGAGGCGTTATCGCTCAAATGGACCAGTTTGTTATTTGTTTGGAAACAGACATGATTTATAAGCTAATCAGTAATAGTATTCAGAGAAATTTGGGCCTTCAAATACATGTGTGTCCAGAATTATCCGAGTATGAAAGTTAAAAAGACGGCTCGTCTTTTCTTAAAACCCTGCTATAAATATAATAAACAAGTGTGCAATTGTGTCAAATGACAATTTACTAAGGAGATTCGGATGATTGAAGGACTTTTCGTACATTTCTAGTACTTCTGAAGATTATTTACATAATTATATTCAAGACTAAAATGAACAATATGGTGAATCAGTGACTTAAAATTGAATTCTATAAATGACCTGTGCAAAATCATAAGCTTAAAGTGAATTCTTTCGGAGGAAGAAAAGGGAGAAAATCTAGTTACCTGGTCGACACTGCAGATTCGACGTGCATCTTGTTCTTGTCGACCTTGAGCTACATAATCCTACAGTGGGGGTCGGCTGTGGACAGACTTCAATTGTAACTGAAATAAGATTGAAAGATTGATGAACCCGGTTCACTATCAGACATGACGCATGAAGCTGTTATCAACTCTATATTTTTCCAAAATTGTTTGGATGCAAATGCAAAATAATTCATATGACTTACTTTGTGTGGAAATACCGTCGACAAACAAAACCAATGCACACATCCACCAAATAATATCCATCATGTACGTCTAAACTGACTAACCATGCTAAATAGTAAATACCAAATTATTCAGTAAATCTACTTAAATGTCTTGCCCTTTGACAAAAAGATCAGTTGCCATTTGCAGGTTTATGTACTGTTTATCGATGGACTAGTGTGAATATGTATCTTTTTATTCAATTACTTTAAGGTATCACATGTCATTCGTAAATTCTTTGTTTGAAAGAGAAAAAATCAAGACTTTTTTTCGATAGCCCTTTTGAAATTATATTTAAGTGATGAGCTCAAATATATATTTGCCCCCGATGTAAATGGATTTTTGAAGCAGTGAATGACTAACTAATAATATTACTTTTAAATGATAAGTTCAAATTTAAATTCTATTTGCCTCCCAATAATGAAAGCCGTTCTCGTGTCAATATCGTCCGTGTCAGGCGAGGATAAATTTTTTGGGTACAGAAATGAGAAATGTCTTTTTAGCAAATTGCTACCATGATGACTTTAAAGATGTTAACTCAGTTTTAAATTTCAGTTACCTCCCTTGAATTGAAGTCGTTGTACGATACATTTACTTGGCTATGTGTAAAAACTTAAAAATCTTTGGCAGTAGTTGACCCAAACCACGAAGCCGATACCTCAAAAGTAATGTACAGAGGTTATTGTGCATCGTATCTCGAGACTTAAAGAAGAATGGTATTTCTTTTGCTATGTAGAACTATAATCGGATCTTCTATGTCCTGTAGGACGACATATCTTGTTACAAGGTTATTTCCTTAAATAGATTCATTATTCAATGTATTAATTTTTTCCTCTGAATTCGAATAAATTGTAGTTTGATTTGCTGTTGAAAATGATCTTAATTGTCACTTTAGGCTTGTGCTGTCAAAAAGTACAATTGTGCTATGAAAAAAAGGTTGATATATATGCCCATTAAAAATTTCTTTTTTTTATTTTAAATTGATTATTTATAAGATATTACTTCCTACAGAGTTTGCCTTAGGCGGCAGGTTAAATTGACAATATTATACTACTATAATCTTATATTCAGAATTCAAAGTTTTTGTTGCAGCGAGTCATGTGGACGGTGGTATTTACGTTGATTGCATTGTTGGTAGTTGGTAAGAATTTTAAAGGTTTTTAATCTTTGTATGTTTATTGGTATCGCTTCAATTTGCACCAATCCGATTCTGTGGTTCCCGCAATTAGAAAAAAATTCATGCCTCGATTATGACGTCATTATCACGATTGCCTTTGGGGCAAATTTAATTATACGTTAATTGTACAGTTGTGGCATGAATTATCAACATTTATTGGTTACTTCACGCATACAGCACTAGTTTCTTTGGTGTTCATTTAGAAGTGATTCGCTACTGTATTTTTGTCTAGGTTTTAATTAAGTCATTTGTTTTTCCTTGCAGAACAAGCGGAAACTTACTCAGGTAATAATTTTGTATCCTTGCATTTAACCTCTGAAATTCATTAAAGAATCTCTTTATTCCGCTTATACTGACTATTGTCTTAGTAAAGCAAAGTTTCTTCAAGTTTTTTTTTCAGTTTTATTTAGTGAGAATTGGAATATCACCCACAAACTAGTAGTTAAGAAACACATTTCTATCCTAGAAATTTCAGCCAAAAAATTTAAATGGAAATTGTCTTGTGTAAATTAAATTTTGAAGACAATGTTGCTCATGTTGTTTATATTTTATCAACGCAAAGACATTCTAAGACAAACGGTACTATTTTGAGGCTGCCATTCCAATTCTCATAACAAATAATTTTTTTCGTTGCTCAGACAATGAGCTCTTAATGCTGAATAGTGTCTCCTTGTTTGACCACCTTCTGCATCAAACGTCATGCATCTATAAGGTTATGAACCAACACTCATTCAAATTTCTGTTAAATATAGATATCAAATGTATTTTATAACAGAAAAATCATTAATAATTATGCTATAAATTGAACTTGAAGTGCAGACACGAGAACAAGTTCTACTTGCTATGCTACAGATAAAGAGGTTGAAATAGATCAGTTGCGTGAAAATAACAACATGTTTGAAGTTCTGTTTTAATATTTCTATATCGCTCTGTAATGATATATTGAGCACTATTTTAACAATGAAATTATTTGTGATTTATCCTATTGTTATATTCTATAGACTTTAATTCATTTTTCTCTGTTTAGTTGGCTGTCCATTACCAAAGTCAGACTTACCTTATCCATACTGTGATGTATTTACGGATCGTTGTGATACAGACTATGACTGTTCTGATGATGGTGAAGAACTGTGCTGCCCCACCACTTGCGGAAGATCATGTCGATCCGCAGTGTATATAAAAAAGGGTGAGTTGAAATAAAACTAGTTCATACAGTAATGTAAGGTCGTTTTGATAATCTATTTTTCCATCTCGTTGATCTCGCAGACCCAGCAATACAAGTAACAGCAAGGAATAAGCATTTCGTCTCGACTTTTTGTGACTTTGCTTCACATTTTGTTTCTTACTTTGCTTCACATTTGAGAATTTGTATCTTAATTTCCATATCATCTGACAAGGATAAAATATCTTCATGTATATCTTAAACCATCGTGTCCAAACAACATCCCCATTCGTCATACTTCCTCGGACCATGTCAAAACCCGTATTCGTGATACGATGATCTCAATCACGAAATTGACCTTTTAGCAAAAAAAATCTCTTCAGGACGATAGCATAATCATAGGTACAGTATGAAGAATATGGAATGAAGTCAATTATCCCATGGCACCATTCTGTTGGACAAGTAAATTCATATTTCTACAAATTTCAGGAGTATGTCCAAAGTATCGATTTTTCGATCCAAGTGATTGTAAAAAAAGAGCTGATAAATGTTTCAAAGATAGTGATTGTAGAAGAAATTTGAAATGCTGTCTGACAGGTTGTGGTAATACTTGTAGGAAACCTACCACTAAACCAATTGTTCACGAAGGTAAGTCATCATGATCTTCCTCAGATTTGCTGCATCAATACCATAGGTCGAGATAATACTTTCAACCCGGTTTCAACCTGTAGTGATGCAGGTAAGAGGGGCTGGCATTGAAAAAGCGTCTAATCGTTCGGATGGGACAGTAAACCGTGTACTGTAAACCGTAAACTGTGCACGTTAAAGATCCTTCGACAATTGGAAATAGAAAAAGAGCAGGCTAATTTCGCTGTCCTGACAAAATTTCCCTCATTGCACCCGGCATGGCGTTACCTGTCTTCAATAGCCCACATGGACGCAAACCACTATTCATATCAATTTGCAAGAATCAATACCAAGAATGAGTGTCAAGATCCATGCAGTATGTACGTATTTGTTCAATAATAACATTTCAAGTGTGTTGACTCACATTATCTGGAAAATTGGAATACGTAGCACTCACGTGGATTTCTAAACCTCAAACAAACTTTTATTTTTGCCAACTACGCCGTCAAGCTTTTTTACACTTTATACATTATAGGAGCGTGTCCATTCTTCTCACCAGAGGGGATCGACTGCCCGGCAGTAGAAGAAGAATATTCATGTAACGAAGACAGTGATTGCCCACTAGATGAGAAGTGCTGTTTTGTAGCCTGTGATAAGGCCTGTGTCAAATCCAATGAAATCATAGTCAATCCTGGTAAGTGTATAACTTTAGGGGTTTGAAATGCCTCATTTTTAAACGACTTTTAACGAAATACTACACTAGAAGATCTTACAGTTCCATTTGCAACACCTTCACTTTCGTTCAGTCTGAATCAGGAATAAATTATGATGAAAGTATGCAAAAACTACAATAATTGTAAGGCCTATATCTGCATTTTTTAGATCACTACTACTGCCACGAAAGATTTAGATTTCATTTGTCAAACCTATGGTATTGTATTGTAGTTGTGTATTTTAGTGATCTAAAATGTACGCGATTACCACTACCTAATTTTGATTTTAATTTGATGTTTTAGGTACATGTCCATCTGTAGACCAGGCCATTTTATGTGATTTTTGGTTCTCAGATTGTGGACAGGATGGAGATTGTGAGGGAGAAAAGAAATGCTGTGATAATCCTTGTGGTAGAACATGTCAGTTGGTTAAACCCAAACCGGGCAAGTAATTCCTCATATCTCAAACATGAAGAGACTATGATAATATATATCCTTATGAAAAACTTGCTTTGAGCTTTGTTGAAGCCACAAAATTAAATCTAATTGAAATTAGATTTACAATTACAAATTACAAAGGCGTGTCTCAATGTTATTTTTAACCAAAGCGTGACATGTAAAACCCTTTCCGAAACCCAAATAGGCTGTCATAATGCTCTACTTCAGGTCTTGGTGTCACACAATTCCTTATAGAAACGGGTTCTATGACAAGCGTTGATTGGTTAAAAAATAAAATCATTGGGACAGTCCTTTGGTTTAACACTTGCTAGATTACCATTGAGACTTAAAATATAAGAACACAATAAAAAGATACGATATTGTAATCAAATTTTAATTAGATTGCATCAAAACTGACTACTGCCCTGATCAATATTTTACACGTCTAAATGTTTATTTGCATTGCAACATCGTTACAATTATGCTGAACTATAAATTAGACCAGGAATTCCCGTGGACAAAATAGTCAAGCACGAAAACATAGATCTTGGAATTTTATTTTTTTTTAAGGTTTCTGCCCTGAGGACTTTGATGAAAATTGTCCACTGCGAGATGAATGCACTGTGGATCAGAGATGTGATGGTGATTTGAAATGCTGTCGTTCTGATTCAGATTGTGGTAAAGTTTGTGTAGAACCTGATAACGAAGGTACTTATATTTATGCATATTTGTGCATACCTGTTGTCGATACAAAACATATACCACTAGTAGTACGGTACACTTTATTTGCAGGTAGAATAAATAACCATTCAAACCGTCATAACGTTCACAACGAGTGTGCTGATAGGTCACTACTATACTACCTTTACTCCAGATTTTGCCATTCTAATGATTTTTGATGGATGGAATTATCTTGCTTGTACAGATTATCCATGTCGATTTGCATCCGAGCATAATCTGTATGTTTACATTTTAGACTGCCCGTACGATCCATGCAATGGTGCGCAGATCAAATGCAAATATGGGCAAAAAAGAGATCAAGATGGTTGCCTATTGTGTCAGTGTGAGTTGAGGTTTATTATTGAATTTCAGACGTTAAATATAATTATATAAGACGGATTCATTTCAGCGATGCTGCATGGTTTTTTCAGTGATGGATGGAATAAAGTTTCTGGTCGTCTGAACAATAAGCTTGAGCCCTTTCACCACTGAAAGATCCCACAATATCGGGAAATAAAAAAAAATGTTGCATGAGAGTATTGTCTGACAAAATCAGATTTTTCCCTCATTACACATTGCGTGACATATTAGGAACAGAAACAAAGTACAACAGTTCATTTCAATAAGGATGTATTAAAAGGTTATGCATTATAACCAAAGTATGATCAATTAATTTGAGAAGGTGATGCTGTGCTCTTAGAATTTGAAAAGAAATTACTCTTGGTGTTTGAGAACTCCGTGTGTGTCAAGTTAAAAAGGACCCTAAGCGATTTCGTCATAACTAGATTTTCTCAATCTCTAAACAGTAAAGCTCGTCCTTAATGTCAATCCTCTAGGCATTTTATCAGATATTTTATTTATTTATAGGTAGAACATGTCCATACGATAAACCACTAGTTAATTGTTTGGTTGATCCCTGCACTGTAGCTAACTGTTCAGTACCTGATACTTATTGCGTGTAAGTTAGCAACTTTTATTTTAACTTCCATATTAACAGCTTTTTGATTCAGCAATGGATTTCAGACGTCACCGATATTTAATTGATATATGGCCACTTTACTTTTAGTGTACACATTTAACAAAATGGTTACTCATAACTGACAAAATAAACCGTAATTCAAAATATCTTATCAAAATGTCTGCGTCAGCAACGAGCAGATAAATGTTGTTTATAATTTTATAATTTCAGATCTGACTATTGTGGAGGATGTAATGCCGTGTTTTATGATTCGTCTGGTAATGTTGTTGATTGTTCCTCTAAAAAGAGGAAATAAACATACCGTGCAGTTTCTTGCAACAAATAGCTTTTCAGCAGTTTATGAAAATTACGAATATCACCAAAGTTGTCTCTTCGCTGAAAAAAATGTAACTAAAATCGAAAACGTTTAAAAGATTTTACTATAATTTTAGCTACAGTTTGGAAATATATTTTCATCTGTTTAGGTTGACATCATCGCATTATTGTGTGGGGATATATGTTTTACAAGGTTAAGGATAAATCAATATTTTGTCCAAAAATATTTATATGTTATATGTTATCGCAATTTACACCTTTCACTAGTCAATACGATAATATACTAATGGTGATTATAATGCGATAATTCGTAGCGTGAATCTTCTAAATAATACTGGTTATTATAACGTGTTTGATTTGAATTCTATATTTCGAAGATTTGGAACAATTTGATCACTTTAAAACCCAAACGGACATTTCTCCATCATTATTATCGTTGCTACCGTTGTTTTCTTCACATGTAGATTGAAACGTTTGACGACAAAGTCCTACTGGTATTTCGTCCCACGTCAGGTGGCTTCTTACAGCGCATCATATACAATATTTCCTGTCGGAACATACGGCACACCAATAAATAAAATATGAAATTTGAAATATTACTGGCTATCTCTAACACCAACCCAATTTTTACGGCGGACATGAAAAGATATCGTTCACTAACAAACATGCCGTAATTACGAACACATTTATCCAGCAAAGAATTAACATAGGTCGGATAGGACAACAATATAAAGAAAAGTGTTGAACAAAGAATGATAAACGTGTGTTCGTTCTCTTGGGCTATCGTTGAGTTCAAAGATCGCCTTGTAATCGCCCATTTCTTCAGAGATATCAGCATCAAAATATTTACCAATAGGCATCCTAAGAGAGCCACATGGGCAAAAACGTTTCCGGATAAAGCCAGGGCTCCATAAAGTTTTGGTCGGATTCTTTGGCTCTCAGATTGCGCAATCATAAATTCATTTGCCATTGTACTGTTCACTCTTTTCACTTCGTATCCAAAATATATATAGGAATGAAACGACAATATGACCAACAAAAGTATCAACATGAAAATTCGCGGATGCTTAATAAACTTAAACGTACGAGCTAACAATGGGTATCCGATGGCAATATAACGCTCACAGCATACAACTAACGTGACGGCGAAGCCAAATTTTCTAGCAACAGTTCCAATGGGCGTAATAAAAAACATAGCAGCTTTAAGATAGAATTCTGAAGAATAGTGTTCCTCCCCAAGAGCATGAATTAAAAATTCATTCAATAAATTCAATAGTACATACACAATTTCACTGGCGCATAAACCTCTCATAAATTTTCGTGTAGCATGTGGCATTACGAATCGTTTCTTCGAAAAAATATGTAACGATGCCAAATTACAGAAAAACGCTAAAACACAGAATACAATTGATGCAACGCTGGAGACTTTGTAAACTGTAGAATACTGCTCTTGTGATACTGTACCTTTAAAACCCATGTCTTATTGAAATATTGTTAGCCTTTTTCAACTAAATCCAATTACTCAAAAATAAATTCACAACAAGCACGTAACAACTTTTCAATTTCAGTTGGAATTTGAACTAATACTGTTTTAGAAACGAAAAACAGTCAAGCACATCTCCACAGAACTTGTAAATTACCACCGAAGTATTTCAATGTTTTAAATTTCTTTTTTATTTTATTTTCGTTGCCATCGTTTACAGTCTTCTGTCACAGATTCAAACTTAAGAGCAAAATTTGGTAATTGATGACTGTCGAATACGAACTGAAATTTTACATTTGAAAACGATCAATGTTAACGTTCACTAAAAAATAATGTTTCATCCATAATGGAAAATAAATGTGGAATATCTACGATATCATCAGTGATGTTGTTTCAAAATCAATAAGATTTTCTTATTAAACCAGTGTGATTTGACATTCAAAAGCGCTGGAGAATGACATATTTGATATACCTACTGCGATCTTTTCACTGTTAGACCATTTTAATTTCCGATGTAACCCTGAAGGTGAATGGAACCCGAACGGCGGATCTGTTAGACAAATGAGATGTCTATCCAAAAAAGATCTCAAAGACATCCGTTTATGTCAATAATACTAATTTAATTTCCTTCAATGCGCTTTCTTTTTATGAGCCAAGTACCGACATTGACAATACGACGTTACAACTCTTAATTAACCGATTTTCATTTGTTGTCTTAAAATGGGTACACCATCTCGATTAACATAAAAATGTTTCGATTAAATCCATATTTAACTAGTATTGGCCATGACCGGTTACCTGAGTGGACCCACTTAATTATTCCAGAATAAAAAAATATCACCAAATTAGAATCTTCAGAAGTAAGGCAACCCCTCTACAGTTATATGTTTGTATAGAAAAAAGATAAAACTGAGTCAAAATTTTTTCTTTGTGCTTTTGTCAGTTCGAAGAAATTAAAAGATTTCTTTTCGGACTTTGCTATTGCTTTATTTTTTCATTGATGTCGCATTGATCATTGATCAATCCGTTCACGATACTTCGTTTAAGTTTATTTTCTTGTGTCATTGATAAAAACGTTTTACTGATTGCAACCTTGCAATAGATGTGCGGCTTCATTCTTCACAATGAGCAAAATTGAAACATTCAGAAGTTGTTGAGTTAATTCCATTCAGAAGAATCAACTGGACTAAAATTTGGGTTGCTTATGAAGACTATCTTGAAATTGAATTATGAGTGAAACTTGATTTGGTGCAGATACGTTTTCCCCATTGCCTCTTGGCATCTAATTGACCAGAGTTGAAGACGTTTGTATGCTGAGATACACAAAAGTGATGCTTCGTCTAAAAAGACAGCTGTCAAAAATAGCTGTTCTGTAGACGCGTGACATTTAATTGAACGTTTGTTAAAATAAAGATAATGATATGGAAAGAATCTCGTCGTGTAAAATAAAGTACTAACGATTCGAACTGCAAAACGAACCCCGAAATCC